TGGAGGCCTGTAACCAGTGGTGTCCCCCAGGGGTCGATACTTGGTCCAATTTTGTTTAATATATTCATTAATGACCTGGATGAGGGGACAGAGTGTATCCTCAGCAATTTTGCTGATGATACCAAACTGGGAGGGGTGGCTGACTCTCTGATGACTCTGATGACTCTCTGATGGCCGCGCTGCCATCCAGCGTGACCTGGACAGGCTGGAGAGCTGGGCAGAGAGGAACCTAATGAGGTTCAACATAAGCAAGTGCAGGGTCCTGCACCTGGGGAGGAATAATTTTAGGCAGCAGTATAGGTTAGGGGTGGACCTGCTGGGAAGTAGCTCTGAGGAGAAGGATCTGGGGGTCCTGGTAGATACTAAATTGTCAATGAGCCAGCAATGTGCCCTTGCCACCAAAAAGGCCAATGGAATCCTGGGCTGCATAGGGACGAGTGTGACCAGTAGGTCGAGGGAGGTCATTCTCCCCCTCTACTTGGCACTGGTGAGGCCACAACTGGAATACTGTGTCCAGTTTTGGGCCCCCCAGTTCAAGAGGGACAGGGAACTGCTAGAGAGAGTCCAGCGAAGGGCAACCAAGATGACTGAGGGATTGGACCATCTCCCTTACGAGGAAAGGCTGAGAGAGCTGGGACTCTTTAGCCTGGAGAAGAGACGGCTGAGAGGAGACCTTATTACTACTTACAAATATCTAAAGGGTGGGTTGAAGGAGGATGGAGCCACACTCTTTTCAGTGGTTCCCAGTGACAGGACGAGGGGCAATGGGTGCAAGTTGGAACACAGCAAGTTCTGTTCCAACAAACGAAAAAACTTCTTTACAGTTCGGGTGACAGAGCACTGGCACAGGCTGCCCAGGGAGGTTGTGGAGTCTCCTTCTCTGGAGATTTTCAAAACCCACCTGGATGCAGTCCTGAGTAATGTGCTCTAGGCAATCCTGCTTTAGCAGGGGAGTTGGACTAGATGATCTCTAGAGGTCCCTTCCAACTCTGAAAATTCTGTGATTCTGTGATATGCACTCAGGAAAAGAAATAGCCTTATTCTTTGTTTGTCTGGATGAAATAATTAACAACTATGAATTATGAACTATGTAGAAATTATATCCAAACTATATTTCCACAAAAAACATCAATTGCCAGCACTGAACTAGCCTTATTTTCTTTTCTCTCTTCCAGTCTTCCTTTGTTAATTCAACCCGGGAAATATGATAAATGTATCCTCCCGCTGGGAATGAAAAAAGTGATTACAGGTACTGTTGACAGAACTTACTATAAAACATAGGAGGAAGGGAGCAGAATAGGTTAACATAGTGATAACTACAGTATTTTCTTCTCATTTACATAGAGAATAGAAAAGAAAATCATCAGTGTAGAAAATTTCACTGAAAAAGTTAAGATTTATTAATGCAAACAAAAGTAAAGCCAAACTATTTTAGCTATGGAAATTCCAAAACAGCTCCCTGTCTCCCAATGAAACTTTGCCACAGAAAATACCACTTTTTTTTTTTAAATTTATTTTGTAAACTAAATTACTTTTTTAAAGAAAAAGAATCCCAAATCATTCCAACAGTAAAATTCCAACATTCAGGCTTTCCACATCCACAGATATGTCCACTAGAAGTCAGATTAAAAGGTATCACTTGTACTCTTCTCCCAGTCTGGAACCTCTTCACACTTAGGTGAAGGCAGCTGGTATTGTTTCTACAATATTATATTAAAACTATATTTCAGGAAAGGACAGAAAAAAAAGTGATAATAAAACAGAACTCACCACAACTCCAAACTGCTCCGGCTCAGACAAATTATTATACTCACTCTTGAACTTGGACAATGCATTCAATTGTTCTTGTTCAGGAAGATGTTTTATTAAATTCTATCAAGAAAAATAAAATAGGCTTAAAAATCTCAGAGTCTATGTTGGTTGTATTATTGTAGGCAAATGGTATTACATATGCATCGTTACCATACACCCCAAAGACAACACTCCTCCCTGAAGACAGCAGAATGCCAATTGACAACGCACAAACTAACGTAACTGAGAGTGTAACAAGCAAGTGATTAAACAGTGCTACCTAGCATCTTTTGCTGATTCTACAAACATTTCTAGTCTTTTTTTAAACACCATTTTTAAAGAAAGAACATGCTTGATAGGCACAAAACAAACAGAACACCAAGAAGTAAATAGAACAGGGAAGGCAGAATAAGAATTTCAAGTGTAACATATCCAAGTAAAGGATGGCAAGAATTATTAATGCTAGACAAAAAGTATTTTTTTTCTAGTATTTCAAAACAAAAGCTTAAACCCATTAGACACTACTTCACCTAAAAACTTGCCAGAAGTAGGAATTCAGAGGTAGGACTCTGTTTCAGCTGAATTCAGGAGTCTATATGGGGAGCTTGGACACTTATACAAGGGAATGTCTTGTGAACACAGGTAAGGGAATCTAAACACATCACCTTCACCTGATCATCTGAAGAGCCCTCAGATTCCCTGGAGCTACCTGAACACTTAGACACCTATATTTATGTATAAACCCCTACATTTAGGCACCTGAACCCCACTCTAATTACAATCAGCTAGGTTGGCTAAAAATGGCTATTCTGAGGTTCTGGAAGTAGAGAGCTTCTCAAACATTTAATTATGGTATATAATTTGAATCAGTATCTGAGTTTTGTCCCTTCCCAAGATGACTACTGTAACTACCAGGCAATAGTCAGGGTCCCTGTAGCCTGCTTGGTTTCTCAACTTATAACTCTCGTGTTCCTGGTTACGCAGTGGCTGAGCTTCCATCATAGTAAAAAAACAAGAGAGAGATTGTGTTCTTTCTTAAAACAGTCCCTGGTCTACTGATAAGATCACCCTTCTGAACTGAAATAAAGATTCAATCAGGTCTAGCAAACACAGCTAGCCCACTACCTACCATATGTCAAGAAAGGATCAGAAAGAGTAGCATTTCCCTGTTACTCAACAGAAAAACAGACACTTTGGTTAGGTCAAAGCCTGTTTTATTACTCTGCAAGTAAACAGCTTTCATGCTATACAATCAACAGAAAATAATTTACTTAAGTTACAGCATCTCTATCTGAAAGTCTTAAAAAAACCCTAATTTTATCCACAAAAGATACTAATTTCTTCTTCTACAGGAAATTCAGCCATTAGGATATACAAATTCTCTCTCTGGGGACAGAGAGATAAAAAGTCATAACTACGCTTTGCTTAACTTGTTTCCCTAATTTAAGAAGAAAGAATTCAACTCTAACTAGTACCTCTAAAATAACCCTATACCACTAGTCAACTCAAGGGCTCTATGCTGTCTTCAGAATCTGTATTAGCTAGTTCAAAGCTAGCCAGCCCAAGGTGTTTATTCAAGTTGCAATCGCATCCTGGGATTGCAGTATAGATATTCCTCTAGTACGAAAATACTAGATTTGTAACTAAAGATCAGACGTATCCAAAGTTTTAAAGTTTTTTTTAAAAGCAGCTTAAATATTTTGTTTAATACTACTACTTTTAATTGTTTATAACTCAGTTTCTTGGCTCTCATAACAATTGTCATTTTAAGGTAGTTTAGCATTTATCAAACCTTTTTTCTAATGGTTAAAAGACCCAGACAGTCCAAAATCATTGTTTTGTTTTAGTGTAAAAACAGTTACTATTTTAAGAACAGAAGCCCTGCTTTGATTCTTTGATTGTAAGGCCTACAATAAGTAATTTGTTTTACAACATTTTCTGATATCCAAAGGACAATGTAGTTTATCAAGAAAGTAAAGTCAGTAAATAAGAAAAGCTAGACTTATAAGCAAAGGTCTAAATAAATCACAGTCAGAGTAAATGATAGTTAAAGAGTAGACTGCTTCAACAGACTGTCTATGCTCAAATAAGGATTTTGGTAGGAAAAAAGAGAACTATTAAAAATGCATAATGATGCTTAAAATAATAACGCAAACTTAAATTTTATGGAGCTTGATTTGGACATGGTCAGAATGACTTTCAGCATGAAGAATTTATGACAGCAATCATAGATATCCTTACCATTACTACATTTGGAAAATATTTTTGTAAAAAAGACTACATTTATTAATTATGGGTAGAGATGTCTGGCACTAGATCAGTAACATGGAGCAAAAATGAAAGGGTATGGCGTGTAAAAAGAGACACTTCAAATTAGAAATTCATAGTCCACTTATTTCTTGTCTTGATATACATCTATATAACCAGCTCTAAAGATACTACAGTTCCTTAATCTTTATTGAAATTAAAATGTTTGATGCTGAAATAATTTTCACATGCAGAAAAACTGACCACAAAACTTTAAAAAAAAAACCCAAACATTCATACAACGCTTGACTGTTTCTCAATATTGAGCATCAGAAAAAAAACCCAAACCCTGAAGCAGCAGCTGATACCAAAGCAGCTTTCTGGTGTTCAGATAAAGCTTTTGAACTGCTAAAGATTAAACACATTTTGAATATCAAACAGAAAATAAGCAGGATAAAGAATTTTGACTAAGTCAGAAGAAACATTCCAATAATTAGTCAATGACTATTTGGATTACAACATGACTCGGGAGTTTTTACGTCTTTAAGAATTAGATTTAATTTCTAACCGGTGAAAGCTGGGGTAAAGGGAGGATACATTTTACTTCTTAAGCATAACAGAAGAGTAGGATTAAGGACAAATTTCCAGCTTCATAAACTGTGACATTAGGATACACTGAACAATATTTAAAGCTAGACAGAAAAAATTGATGAAGGCAAGAAATCTCTAGAAAGGAGAATATCATAATAACAAATGTACCTTATATAAATAAATAAAAATAGCCATATGCTTGCAAACCAACGCATGTTTTTGCCCTTCTCAGAATCAGGAAGTACACAGGACTACATTTTCATAGCATGACCATAACCCACACTTGTGAAGGTTCTTAAAGGTAGAAATAGAGACATACAGCTGGATAGCTGAATTTTCTTAGTAACCTGAGCATATGTGAAGGTGGATACCAAATTTTTAAAGCAACAAGGCTATCACTTCCAAAGGAAGATGGGTGTCTTAAGTGCTTTTTCGAGTTTAAAATGGTCCCCTTTTCAAAGTTATTACAGGGTTGTTTTACCCAGAAACAAGAAACTTGAATGAAACCATTTGATAAAAATGATGATATTCAAACTTGCAAATAAATTTGGAACCTAAGTTCTTCTGAAATTTTTCATTTGATTTAGGCCTGCAAGCATTCAAACATTTTTGGGGGAAAAAAAAAAAAAAAAAAAAAAGAGAAAAGCAAAGCAATCTATACTCTTGAATCATTTCTATGCCCAAAAAAATCCCAATATGTGGGACCTGCTATCCTCTGACAGTATGCCCTGTTATATATATGACTGTGTACATACAGGATAATGTGAGCATTATCACTTCTATTCTACTACACTGACTCTCGCTCAATCACAGCAGCTGCTAACATTGCCGTCCTCTTGTAGGGCGTTATTCCTCACCTCACATTTGGCTCTTCAACTTCTCTTATAATAAAATCGTTCCCTCCCCCCTCCATAAGCAAACACAGAAAGACTCAAACGTCATCAAAAACACCTGAGAATCAATTTCATATATAGAGAAGTTAACTGGATACACTGACTTTCAATATACTCTAGTGTTAATACCTATTAAAAGAGCCACAAGGTTATCAGCATACTGTCAAAAAAGTATCTCCTGTTATTGTTAACCATGCCTACTACACAGAGAATAAAATGGGACTAAATTGTGTTTGCTGTTTTAAATAAACAGAAAAGTAGGCATTCTTTATACCAAGGTATATACCATTGAGATGGAAATGACAGTCCACAGAAGAAACTAAAAAGGAAAAAAATAAACAATTCTCAATTAAAGTTTTTCTTCTTAGCTTATTGCAACTGATGGAATATTTACCACATGTTCATATAAAAGTATGCCATTAATTAACTACCTGTAACATTTTGAAGATCTTTTTCCCCAGAGCCTAGATGCAAAAAAAATGTTTTGTCTTCTTTAAATAATACATATAGAAATTATCAAGACGTCAGTTTTTCATAATTTTTATATATAGTATTTATTTATAGTATTTATTTAGTATATGCAGGTTACTTCATGATACTGTTGAGAACCTAATTTCATTAACAAGCTAAATTTTCACTGCTGAAAAACAGTGCTAAACTCAAACAGCATGAGAAAGTCTCAGAGCAAGCATGGACTATCTAAGACAGAGTTCAAGCCAAACATAACAGCGCAGCATATTCCATCTCTCAGCTTTCCATGATATTTTAGAGAATTTCTACTATTATTCCAAATAAAATAAAATAAAAATACATCTCATGCATCATTTGAGCATGAAGAAAACCTTGAAAAAGTGATGGAAGTGCAAACTAGAACCAACAAACAGCTTAGAGGTTCTGTTCTGTTCATCCTAACAACCTTAAAGTAATAGTTTCAGTCCCAATATTAACTGCATCATTGAATGAAACAGAGAGAATTATACAATGATTATATATACTGTCACTGGAGATGACGGTTCATGTTTGTTCCTTCAAAGAAACATCTCATTCTTCAAATCAATGAGTAGACAAGCTCCTTTTAAAGGTAAACGAAGTCCAAACAGCCCAACAGAGTCTAAAGGTCTTTGAAATTCATGTGACAAGAAGTGAGGGCTAAGCTGCACGCGGCAAGAAAAGGAGCATGCTGAACACTGCACAGCCTCCTCAGTAGGACCTTATTTTGACATTCCGATACGGTGGAAATTTATTTTGCAAGCAGAGCACACAACTATAAATTTGCCTTGTTTGGACCTTTGAATACAAATCGTTATGTGTTGCAGTACAAGCCACACATTTGAATCTCAACGAGTCTTAATGTTACAACTCATTTTAAGACTCTATTACTGGTCTTATTTCTTTCTTCACTAATGAACATGCTTACAAAAAGCATACGTTTCTAAAAATCTAATTTTATCTTTCTTTGATGTTTCAGTAGCAACTGTGTCTCTAACACACTTTCAGGTATGCTGTAGAGGATGAGCTATCTAAATCCTCTCTAAGTTAAACCTATGCCAGATTGATAATAAGTATGATTTGACATTTAAATTTTTGCTGTTATGGCTCATAAAGTTCATCACAGTATGCAGGAGCCCTGTCCAAGAGCCAGACAATCTTGGTCTAGAGACAAATCTTTGCAAATCTAATGGACGCCCATCAAGATGGCTGGGGAACATGGCACGTGACAGGCATGGAGAGTTTGAAAGAAGTGGGCTTCTTGAACTGTAAGAAAGCAAGCCTCAGGGGAACTTAATGTGGTCTCCACCTACCCAACTAGAAGGTACAGAGAAGATGCAATTAGGTTCCTCTTGGAGGTGTGCAGCAGGCGGCCAAGGTCACAAATTGCAACAACAAAAATTCCAGTTAGATAGAAAAGAAAAAGTGTTTCACCACGAGGGTAGTTCAACATTAGAAAAGGTGTCCAGAAAGGCTATGGAGCACCCAGCCTTGGAGATATTAAAAATGTATTGGGAAATGGCCCTAAGCTACTTGCTCTAGTTGATGTGGCTTTGAGCAAGGGCTGGGATCTCATGACTTCCAGACATCCAAATTATTTTTTCACATGGTTCTGTAATGAAGTATTTGTATTTAAATTATTTTATTAAATTCTCCAGCTTATCAGCCCTTAAATAACACTGTGCACAGAGTAACACGAGGAACTTCCAGTTTCTTTTGTCTCCATACAGAATAATACTGATTTTGTGCTTCAAATAAAATAATACAGAAAGAAAAAACACTACTAGGGAAGAAAATTGGTCATTGTGTATGCCCTAAGGCAAGATCCTGGATTGTATCAGCTCTGAAAGGACAAGGGGAAAAAAACACAAACCACAAACAACCCAAAAAAAACCCAAAAACCTCCACCCCCAAAAAATCCTCCAAAAGCCCCAACCTTTTCCCATCTAGTTTTTTATCAGAACAACAGATTTGTGCAGATGAGACAGAGGTAGAAACAAATTAAAGAAAAATTTAGTAACTAGGGAAGAAACAGAATACACTATGCTGTTTGAATATATACCAAAGAAAAAAAAAAATCTCAATTTAGGTGTGGACAATGCAGAAAAAAAGAGAACATAAATTCAGCTGCTTTCATTAAAGAAAATTAGCTTTACAAATATAAAGAAAAAATACAGTTCACAGAGAAAAAAAAAAAAGGATTCTTGCAGTGATTTATTATCCAAAAGTTTATGTGAAGAGGCTTTTTAGCTCCATGTTTCTATTCAATGAGAAACTTACCCTGAAATATTGGGATTTAAAGGGTCATTTTCCTTACCTGAATCATGGACTCTGACAGCTGTGTTTCATCTACTTCCAATATCATCATTTTTATTTCCTCATAAGGCACTCGGAAAGAGCCAAGGAAAATTGCTAAAACAAAGATTCAACATGTAATAAAGAAAGCAAGACAACAACAATCTTTTTTTTCTATTTACAAAACACCAATTAAAGAGGCTACAGCATCTACAGGTTAACAAACACTAGGCAAAGTGATATAGACAGAGATAACAATTTTAAATGTTTTTTTAATTACTGTTCCCCTACAATTGCAGCCTTCTCCATCCATTTGTTATGTACAACATCCAGCATCACAGAAGAGCTCCCTAAGCAGCCAGTGACAAGTCTGCCCTGCAGGATAATCATTGCCTTTACAGTATTTTGTGCTGAGGTGACAATCATACATTTTTCTCCAATGGTCTTGTCAGAGCTTTCTCATAAAAAAGCACCATGAGAAACCAAAACTATATAAACAGTTAAAAAACAAAATGCTCACATAAAAACTGTTTGTTCATTCACCATAATCCAATCATTACTTTTTTTGTTTCTGCCAGCATTTAGGAACCTATTCTTTATAGAACTCCTCTCCCCCAATACTTTATCATCTTTATTTGCACATTATTGCATAATACTGAATATTGCCTTCTTTCTATAAAGTACATGAGAGATGACCAGACATCTCGTAGACATTATTACATAAAAACTGTTTGTTCATTCACCATAATCCAATCATTACTTTTTTTGTTTCTGCCAGCATTTAGGAACCTATTCTTTATAGAACTCCTCTCCCCCAATACTTTATCATCTTTATTTGCACATTATTGCATAATACTGAATATTGCCTTCTTTCTATAAAGTACATGAGAGATGACCAGACATCTCGTAGACATTATTGTCTTTTTTGATGGGGGGGGAGGCTGGGGGGTTGGGGGAGGCAGACAGTATTCTTTGATTAATATGTTGAAAATATAGATAGATAATTAGATATATAGCTGTATGCTTGTACTTCGATATATACAGAAGAGAATTACTTCAGTCTTAAACAAAGGTTAACCCCTAACTGTTTTCTGGGTCTTTTTAAACATGTTTCATTTGTATCAACTCACATGGCTGGGCTCAATGCCAATTACTGCACACATACATATTCTCACACGCTTTAAACAGAAAGTGGTTACAAGGCACTCAGAGAAGAGAGAAAGACATTTTTATGAAACATTTATACAGCACTACTTCGGCATAAAACCAGAATCTACTTACACAGATTCTGTGCAATCTTCGGGTCCAAAACTTTTAATTCTTTGATTCGTTTCTTAATGGATTTCTTTTCTTCAAAATCCTCCTCCTCTTTTTTCACTGCAGAAGTAAACACAAATACACTCACTGTTAACTCTCAATATTTAGAGGAAACATTAATGAATTCAGAAAATATATTTGCTAGCAAGTGTAGTGAATTCACAAAGAAAAGAACACATCACAGAAGACAGACAAAAAAAAAAAAGAGGTTTTGCATTTATTGCTTGTATTCTCAAAATTTTTGCTCTTCAGTCAAATTGTCAGCATGTTAGCCTTCTAGAACAAGATTATTATTTTTTTTTAATACATAGAAACTGAATAAATGTGCTACATGTTAATCCTATGAATGGTATGAGGTCATGAAAGTCATACTTAAAGTACCATGCAACATACTTCAGTCAGCCTGGCCAGGTTAATATTCTGAATTGGATTTTAACAATAAGAAATCCTAAAGAAGATATGTCAATATGTCTCAATATTGAACAATAAAGAACCAATCCAAAATTTAAGTATTTTTGTGACCGCTTTTGTCTAAATATATGCACCAAAATTATCAAAGACCACTGGCATATTACAAAATGATCATTACCGTGGAACATAAATGAGTATATACCTATTTTCCTTATCTCCTCCAAAAAGATTTATTTTTAAATATATGATGTAATCACATTATCACCTTATTAAAAATACCACAAAGACAAAGTAATTGTATAAACATACATTAATATTGCTGGACTTTTTGGCTTATTCTTTCTTTTCAGAAAATAATTCATACAAATAGGATCTCCCAAATGCATTATGTAAGCTGAATTTATTTCTCATTATTCACACATTGTCATAAGAGTTTCACCTAAAATAACAGCATACGCTTGATAATGTATTAGTAGGAACCATTCCAATTATTATGCAAACAAGTAAAATAGGCCAAAACCACAAACACCTTTCTTTAAATCCAATCTGGTTGTCCTTTATTATTTTCTTTCT